ATCATTGTTGTTTCGAAATGCCAGTCAAAGTACATATTGTTATCTTCAACATGAGCTGCTTGTTTTGATATTTTCCGCTTTCTTCATGTTTGTATTGATGCTTCCCAAACTCCTGTAAAAAAAACAATAAAATGTGTTTTGTCAGATCCACATTGTTGTATTTTGTGTTGTTTCTGTTGAGGTGTGGATATTCTGTGGTCACGAAACTTGCTTCCACAGCTCAACTATTCTTTAATTCCTATAATATATCGGTAGTTCATTATTAGTATTGAAAATACAAAGGCTGCAAACTGAATTTTAACACCACTGTCTTTGGGCACCAAACATTCCAAAACAGACTCTACCTCCCATGAAAAGTTGAATTGCTTGAGGACGTCTTGGACCTCAAATAGATAAGTATTCACGAAGGCAATAGAGATGTTGCCAATATCATAAACGTTTTACAAGACGTGTGTGCAGGCGCGCGTGCGTGCGTGAATATGTGTGTGTCAAGACAGATATCATATATTTGAACGCATTGTGTCCATGAGAGATGTTTAGTAACCTTACAATGAATTCTATAAAACTTTTCATACTGTGAAATTTGGGATATTGTATTTCCAGTCCGAAGCTGTACAGGAGGTAAAGAAGTGACATAAAATATCAATAAGGCTAGATAATGTAATCACCAAGAAAACTCAAGCAATGCTATGTATAATCATACCAAAGACATAAGGCTGTCAGGTATTCCAACGCTTTTATTGAAGCATAGCGTTTACAGGCCCACCAAAAAACAAACAACAACTATAGAATATGTACACACTTCAAAAAGAAATAACCACACTTTTACAAACAAAACAATCCCCATAAAGTTTGAATCCGTGAAGATCCGGGGTAGAATAGATCTTCAGCAACCCATGCTTGCCGTAAAAGGCGACTATGCTTGTCGAAAGAGGCGATTAACGGGATCGGGTGGTCAGGCTCGCTGACTTGGTCGATGCAAGTCATCGATCCCAAGTGCGTGGATCGATGCTCATGATATCAATCACTGGATTGTCTGGTCGAGACTCAATTATTTACAGAGCGTCGTTATATAGCTTGAATATTGCTAAGTGCGGCGTAAACCAACCAACCAACCATAAAGTTTGCATTTTAATGATAAGACCCCCGCACATTTTCAATGGAACGGGACACAGTAATCACGCAGATCTCTACAAATGGTTACATCTACCTACATGTGGTTACATCTACCTACATGAATATGCATACCAAACCACCTACCTAGCCACAATACTCCCCATAGGAAAAGAATGCTACACATGTATATTACGCTTGCATAGAGAGGTTACAGAATTGCTAAATTGCTGACTGCACAGCGAACAGCGGCGCCTCAGACGACTGGGCCGACCGTGCCCCTGGTGTTGGAAAGAGGAAATTTAGACGCACAGAGAACAATATGTGGAGCTGCCCGTGGTACCAGTCACGAGGCTCTATACTCTGAAACTAACCTTACACCCTTTTCCAAAAGACGTCAATCTCATCGATTAAAAACATTTTACAAATGGTTAGCAAGTTGGCCATGGGATATCTGTAAATCCTGCTCCTCCTAAAATTTCAATGAGCGCACGTTACAATTTAAGAACGTCTTCACAGCTCCAGAATGTTAATGCTAGAATAGCTAAATACTAAAAATCATTTTACCCGACACAGTACGAATGTGGAACGACTTACCGGATAATGTTCTGTCCAAAAAATACTGTATATGACTTAACTAAATGTATCACCACAACAGAAAATCCTAAAATATTTGGCTTTGACATACACTAATGGTGCCCGTTTCTGTCCAATTATCCATTCCCGCCTCAGGTTAGGATGCAGTGATTTAAATGCACACAAATATCACAGGCATATTCATGAGTCTCCCACCTGCTCCTGACGATATCATTATGAGGATCCTACTAAATCAATCATTTAGCTGTTTGTATGTGTGATATGCTGGTATTTAGAGGTATAGGTGTACAAGCATATTTGTGTATATACGTACATGTGCATGGATGCAACGGTTTGATTATGTACTGATATATGTATGTGTGTGTCTGTGTGGGACTTATATACACCATCCTATTTGCAACTGTAGGTACAATTAATCTACATTTTTTTTTTTACAGTTAACTCTTATTAATTATTTAATGTCCTTTGTAGGGAGAATTGTATAAATAGGCTTTCTCTGTTCACCAATCCAATTCCTTTTTTCGTAAAATAAATATTGTTTAAATCATTTAGAGATATAAGTACTGGAACAAATTCTGAAATGTCACGACCCATACATTGATCTCCACAAAAGCGCTGGAAGATCCAGGGCTACGATCTAGGTTACAGGCGTTCAAGAAATGGTTATTTAAATATGAGTCAAAGAAATAAGCCTAACATTGAAGCAACAGATATTCTACATTTACAAACTTAATAGTTCTAAATTTACTTTAAACGATGTGGAACCCTCTCAGTGGGGCAACAGTGTTACATGCCTTACTCCCCTTCGAAGATACAGCCACTAACTACCTTCGTTACTGTACCAACCTGATCTCTCATTGCTGTTCTATTATATTTTTTTGTAGATGGGCCACTGGCCTTAAGTACAGAAATACAGAATTAAAATTGAAGTGCTTATGGAAATATATACAGAGCGAGAATTTTCAGTACAAAACTGACATTAAACGGTTTCATCTTCACAATATCGAAGCAATTGTAGCAAATTAAAGTCACAAATTCAACTGAAATGTATATATCGGTCTTACAAGACAAATCATTAATACGATCTTTTGGTAAATTTAGAATTGCATTGCATAATTTAGATATGTGTCGTAGATTTAAGGATACTAGTTTTGTTAATAGTATATGTTCCCCTTGTGACAGAGATGAAATTGAAGATGAATTCCACGTCTTGTGTAAGTGAAACAAGTATTCTAGATTGACTGTTACCTTAGGTACGCAGTTAGTCATAGAGGCTTTGTGCCTCATCCTAATTAGCAGTATCACAGCACAGCTTACTATCTGTAGACTTAAATGCAAGACTTAACCTTTTGTTATAGTAACATGATATATAAAAATGTTGGAAATATGCTTCAGCTACACCCTTTGAACCCACGTATCACAAACATATCAAAGGATGAACCCCATTTATGTCTAGAACAGTCGGAAATATTTGTTAGGGTATGAAGTTATGTGTATCTTGAAATACATGGTTGCTGATCATTGACGTTTGCGAACTGGTTTTCCTTATTGCAAAGGTTTATTTCCATGAGGTACTACCTTCAGACAACCTGCGTGAAGACAGTCAACACATAGTCATACTCAACTGCAAGTATATCACGCCTAACAGTGTATTACAAATCACACTAACTGATCCAAACTACTAGAATTAGCACGCCCCAACAATCACACCAATAGCAGATCGCTGACAGTTTGCATTTAAAGTAGCATATGGCAGCAGTGACTATGGGTACACCTGCAGCAAGGGTCAGGCCTAAACCAGGTCAAATGGAAGGTACAAAATCAGACACTCCTGACAGCATAACCGAGAAGGGCTTATGGAAATATGTATAGAGCGAGAATTGTTTGGTACAAAACTGGCATTAAACGGTTTCATCTTCACAAATCGAAGCAATTGTAGCAAATTAAAGTCACAAATTCAACTGAAATAGATATATCGGTCTTACAAGACAAATCATAAATACGATCTTTGGGTAAATTTAGATTTTCATTGTATAATTTAGATATGTGTCGTAGATTTAAGGATACTAGTTTTGTTAATATTGTATGTTCCAATTGTGACAGAGATGAAATTGAAGATGAATTCCACGTCTTGTGTAAGTGTAACAAGTATTCTAAATTGACTGTTACCTTGGGTAAGCAGTTAGTCATAGAGGCTTTGTGCCTCATCCTAATTAGCAGTATCACAGCACAGCTTACTATCTGTAGACTTCAATGCAAGAGTTAACGTTTTGTTACAGTAACATGATATATAAAACTGTCGTACATTGACCCTCAGCAAGTGTTGTCAGTAGACGAACTATTTTATAGTAAATGTTAGACAAACCTTCTTTGGGGGAGCTGATGGCTTTCTGGCCTCCCATATCTGTTCTACACCATCCCGGACAGCACTACAAGAGACAGATAATTTTAGCGATATTTCGACATAGTAACAGATGCACTGTCGCGGTAAAAGACACACTGACATACTTACAGATGTACCAACATAGTAACTACAGACACAGTAACAGTTAGACATAGTAACAGATGCCCTGTTGCAGTAAAAGTGAACCGACATACTTACAGATGTACCAACATAGTAACTACAGACACAGTAACAGCTACACAGACATAGTCGAAGATACACTGTCGTAGTAAAAGTGAACCGACATACTCACAGATGTACCAACATAGTAAAAGATGCACCGACATAGTTACAGTTACACATACATAGTAACAGATATACTGATATATTGCATTGCGAATATATCATTGCGAATATATCATCAACACGTTGGAATCTGGAGACATAACCGCAAAATCTAACGTTTGGTTATGGCACCATCATGTTCATAATCTCAATTACATAGTTGACAAAATATGAATTAAATATTCCAAGCTGGAATACATATATATTTGCCAGCAACAAACGGTATGAATTGGCACAAGTTTCAATGTGTTGTAATACTCTATGCTTCATACAAAATGGTATTTCACAATGAATGCAATGTAAATGCACACACCCATGTTGCTAAGAACAACCAACACCTTAGGTAGCAACCAGCCATGACGCATTTCATTCCAATATCGTGAATAAAGTCGACTTGTGGGGTAAAATATATAATACATGCCAAGGGTTAATGGTATGCGATGTATGTCCCTGAACATGAACATGTTGCCAACAAATGGTATAAATCCTGCTTGACTCTAGCACATAATATCATTCTTGATAAATCCTCAAGAACAGCAGTGAAGAATATCAGCTTTCTATAATGGCACAGAAATTAACCTTCAACCAAGAATGTTGTGATAAAGGAGGTGCTAAATCTCTTAACCTCTTAGTGATGGGTGGTCATGGTGTGGGGAAGCGCACTCTCAGTAACAGATTGATAGACTGTTGGAGAGATAGCGCCACTTCAATTTCTCGACAGACTTCAGAAGATGTCCTGGGCATTGGCGGAAAGACCCTGCAGACACAAGTTCAAGAAGCATCTTCGGGTAGAACGTCCTTTCTGCAACGGGTACCAACAAGCGATGTTTACCTTCTTGTCTACTCAATCACAGACGATGCTTCCTTTGAGGTGGCGGTCAACATAAGAGAAAGGATTCTGAATCAGAAAGGAGCAAACGTTCCTATTGTGTTTGCGGCTAACAAGACAGACATTGGTCAGTCTGTTGACCAGATCGAGAGGGTTTATAGGGACCTCAATATCAGCTGTGAATGGGAACATGGACATGTGGAGATATCAGCTGAGAAGGATGACAGTGTTTTCAAGGTAATGGAGCCAATTCTTAAACGTCACAACAAATATATTGATCTCACTGAAAGAACTAAAAGTCCAGCAGGGCTACGATCAAAGTTACAGGCGTTCAAGAAATGGTTCTTTAAATAGGAGTGAAAGAAATGAAGTTGTGGAGTATTTGCGTTGTAATTTTTGTTAATGCCTTTCACTGTTCCTGCCTCAAAATAAATGTATGACATTTGTATCACTGTTGCATCGAAATGCCATTCAACGGTTTTGTTGATATTATCTTTTAGAAAAGCTGTTTGTTTTGAAATGTTCTGCATTGATCATGACAAATATTGAATAAATTTTGTATTTTGTCAGTGGCCTCCATGATGTTTTAGTTTATTCCGTGACCCCGGGGTTAAACTGGACATTATTAAAACAGGAGATGTAGCTTCAGCCAAATTGAGCGGTATGGCCTATAGCCATGAGATATCATTGCAATGAAATTTCATCACAATGCTTGGCAATGACGTCACAACCAATTGGCATCACTACTCTCTGACAAGGAAAGTTGTGTGATCATTTTGTGCACTCAACACAAGTCATGACTGTTTACAAAATGCCACAGTTGAAATATATTCTCGCCCTCTGGTCTTTTGATATCAAATATATCAACACAAAGTTTTAAACTTCTATTGACTCGTGTTGCTACATCTGATATAAAGAGACACTTGGATGAGAATTTCGTCCCTTGGACACGCCAGAAACCTATGATTGTTGGTTCGAATCCCGATTCGCCCCGATTATGTTTCTAGGTTTGTCAGCACCATACCCGCCGTGCTCGTGAATTTCATCGAAGTGGTAAACGTCTAAGACATGCATCACTTCAGGTTTTCCTCCCACATTTAGCTGACACGCCGCGATATAACTAGAACACTGTTAAAAACAACTCACTCACTCACTGTCCATCCTAATTCGACTGACAAAATCGAATGGAATCTTCTGATGTGTTCAGCTTAGGAATGAACATTTTAAAATATCACCTAATTTGGAATAAACATATATTATTTCCACAATCTAGGTTCACATTACTCAGAAATAAAATAATGTGCTTATCCTAAAAGCGTTCACGACAATTATACAACAATTCCCCTCATATATCAATACGAACACTACACGTGTACATTAAAATACCCTATAGCGTGCATCTAGAGGTGTCAAATGGTTGAATGTCTGATAATTCTGTCTGTAGTTTGTGTCAGTGTGGTTGGTCAGTGAATATCGATTGGTCAGGATATGTCGATTTTTAAAGTTCCAGAATTAAATGTTACCAGATTCTAAAATACATGGATTTACTTATGCCGAGCGCCTGGAAGTGTAATAACAGGTATAATGTATTAACATATGTTGATATGACACGTCCAAGGAATGAAACCTTGCGGATGCACTATCCACAATACCACGGAGGTGGTCACCTCCAGAACGAAGAAGATCCAGATCCAGATCCAGATCCAAATCCAGAACAATACAAATTACAACCAGTGTCCCTATTTACAATGGATAACGAACAAACGGGTGTCAACATTTAGCCATGATTTCACTACTGTGCATCCTTTTCAGTGTGGCCACTATTTGTTCAATCGTCGTGAAAGTCAAAGATGATCAAACCTTTTGTGAGTGTGTGTGTGTGTGTGTATACGTTGTTTATTATGTACTGGATAGAGTTATCAATTCGAGGGCCAATTCGATAAAATTTGTATCAGAGTCCGATAAATATTTAAACGAAGTCACAACGTTTTATCGGCATTTAAAGAGGCAATGACTACTTGTAAAGTTCCTAATACGTTTACACTAATTATGCCATGTCCATATATTAAAACCAATTGTAGGCCACGTTTAATGTTGCGATGTCCGATGTGTGTGTGTGTGTGTGCTTCATGATTTTATTTAATTGATTCAAACAACAGTTTGCTTTTCGATCCCTTTTTCATTGGCCGAATTAAACAACTGCAATTGTACGTTACTGGATATATACACTCAACGAAAAAAGAAACGCGAATAATAGAAACACATAGAGAAGTATGTACGTTAAGAAGAGATGTTTCTAATGTGTACCATTTAATGACAAAACTAACAGTCAGTCAAGTGTTACGACAGAGTGTCTTTATTCTTATCACGATATACTGCACGTCATTTTCAAACTTTACACGCTAATCCTGCGCGAAACAAATGATGCATCTCGAGTCATGGATCTACGACGTCACATGTGATGCGTTCATGAACGTCGGTTCACACAACACAACGCTGTGTTCGTTAGTGTATCGGACCAATCTACTGTCTCTTGAATATGAGTAATTTCATTATATATTAACAATCATGTATGGTATTCGCGTTTCTTTTGTCGGGGAGTATATATTTAAGTATACAATACTGTTCCATGGACAATTCACGTATACCCCACAACAGTAACAAAAACACCCATAAGTATACCTGAAAGATTTCAAGTCGTTTCTTCAGGAGAGAAACAAATGTTTCACATTTGCACGTACGGGTGTTACTGAGTATTCAGAGGAAGGAATTGTGATATTGGAAACCACTGGGTCATGCAGTCCGATTTAGAAGAAGGTTCCGGTCATCAATTACTCAACACCATCATCAACTCTTTGTAAATAGTAAATGCAGACTGTATACTATATTTCCGTAGCACACAGATCGGTACGAGGCATACATGACGTCACTCTGGAATGCTATGACCAGCCTTGTTAACAGCGTGCAGATAAAAATCAACTACAACTAAATCCATAACTTCATGACATTGAAAGTTGATCTAATTTGACGATTTCAATTAATGCCCACGCGATGTGAAGCCGCCCTAAAATCAGCAGTTATTGCGGCATGACGTTGTTTCTTAATGTACACACGTCCACTTCACCGATCACCCAAAAATAACAGTCACAATCAATCCATCAAACTTTCTGAGTTTATAGAGCTTTCATTTGATTTAAAAATCCTGAACGTTTCCGATGAACCCGTGTTAAAAAAAACAATGTTAGCACGTGTTAACTGATAAGTGTCATACTTCGATTGACTTAAGTTGTCCACACCTACCGATCCACTAGGAATCGGTACTCTGGTTAGCAACTCTCAAGTGACATCGTCGAAAGCTAATTAGTTTCATTTATTGATTCAATCATGAACAAGCATGAAATACTGACATACCCCGGCAATATGACATGTCCGAGCACTGGAAACTCGAAATTTCTTTTTTTTTATAAAAATCCCAAAATATCAAAAAGCACCAGTTCACCACTAGACTATGTGCCAAGTTTGGTTAAGATATCTCTCATGCTTATTTAGTTCTGTTCCGGAAACAAAACGTGACGGACGGTAGGACGGAATGACGGACGGACGGACAACACCCATTCCAATATCCCTCTTCCACTTCGTGGCAGGGGATAATAAAATCATTTAAATAAATGATATGAGAATCTATGCGTTATCTGGAACATTCTTGTGGTTTAACAGTAGAACAGACAAAACAACAGCTTTATAAAGCACTGTAAAACTTGTAAACCTCTCAATGTTGTGTTTGTTGCTGGCGATCTATGCCCGCATTTTTATTTTGTATCGTACCCAGATAATCAGATAGTGTAATGTTCTACAACTAGTTTTAAGTCAAACTGTGATATATTGCTAGTTATTATACTGTCCTTCGTCGACAGTTTTTATTATAAACATTGTATAACTTGACAAAGTCACATTATGGCTGAAATATTGCCCACGTGATTTTAAATTGAACACACTCACTCACTCTCATTGTTGTAGCAGTACCTTTGGCTGTTGTGTTCCTCCCCCTGGCTGCCATTCATATCAAAACATTTGTATCACTGGCCTTGATTAAATGGTGACCTATTTTAGGACATGCACGTTTCCTCGACTAACCCATATTATCCATTGGCAGAAAACACATGGTTATACTTGAACATAATCATAGACACCCTTACAAAGCATTAACAGTGAAAAACAACAACAAAGTTCTCATAAAAATTCAATTCGTTGACCTTGGAGTCATATCAAATCTGATACTCTTTTCTGTTTACACATTACCTAACATTACAGTTAATAGTATGTGACCTTGTTGCTAATTTCTTTTTAATCAGTAATGTTAATGTGTTGAAAATGCAGCCGCATAGTGCATTGCGGATATCAACAGCTTGTGATCCGGGGACATAACTGCATGAGCTAAGTGTTTGTGATAGCACCATCATATTTATAAACTAAATCGTTACAGTCACAAATTCAACTGAAATGTATATATCGGTCTTACAAGACAAATCATTAATAAGATCTTTTGGTATATTAAGAATTTCATTGTATAATTTAGATATGTGTCGTAGATTTAAGGATTCTAGTTTTGTTAATATTGTATGTTCCCATTGTGACAGAGATGAAATTGAAGATGAAGTCCACGTCTTGTGTAAGTGTAAATATATTCTAGATTGACTGGTCCGTCATAGCGGCTTTGCTCCTCATCCTAATTAGCAGTATCACAGCACAGCTTACTATCTGTAGACTTAAATGCAAGAGTTAACGTTTTGTTACATTAACATGATATATAAAAATTTTGGAAATATGCTTCAGCTACACCCTTTGAACCCACGTATCACAAACATATCAAAGGATGAACCCCATTTTTGTCTAGAACAGTCGGAAATATTTGTTAGGGTATGAAGTTATCTGTATCTTGAAATACATGGTTGCTGACCATTGACGTTTGCGAACTGGTTTTCCTTATTGCAAAGGTTTATTTCCATGAGGTACTATCTTCAGACAACCTGCGTGAAGAAAGTCACAAATCACAAATCACACTAACTGACCTAAACTACTAAAATTAGAATGCCACCACAATCACACCAATAGAAGATCACTGACAGTTTGCATTTCAAAGTAGCACATGACAAAAGTTACTATGGGTACAACTGCAGTAAAGGTCAGGCATAAAGTAGGTCAAATGAAAGGGATAAAATCAGACATTACTGACAGCATAACCGAGAAAAAGAGAAGCAGCCGCAAGAACAATTTTATAATAATCAACTTAGTTTTTTGAATAGATTGTTGAATGTTGTCTTTGTGTTGTGTCGTATGTGGGTTTGGAAACCGAT